TAAATTATATCTTTATATTTCTTAATATCTAGTTTTCAAATATTTTCTAAAAGTTTTTTACTTTTATATATATTTCCTATTACTAAAGTTCTTATATTATTTCTAGTACTAATTCGTAATAGCCCAAATCGAGTATTATTATTATATTAATTCTAAACTAAAGAAATAGCTACTATATAAATTACCTTTATTATTTTCTTTTTTTATATCTCTTATTAGAACTTCTCTAGAAACCTATTATTCTCTTTTATAATAAAGACAATTTTAGTAGCTCTATAATTACTAACTTCGTATTATAAGTATTTAATAAACTAGTTATTATTATAGACTATTATAAAACTAGCTTAATAGTTTATAAATATTCTTAATTTACTTAATACTAAATAAAGACTTTTTCTTTCTTTTATAAGCCCGTTTAGTAAATCTAGAAAACTAAAAGCCCGAGTCTCTAGGCTAGAATTTAAGACTATTAATAAAATATATATCTTTAATATAATATAAGTTTATATATACTAATATAATTCTATTATTTAGCTAGAATAAAAAAGCATATAAATATATAATTAAGGAATTACTAAAATTAGTAAATAAGATAAATAAATTTAATTAATATATATTTATTATTTATATTTGAATTAGTTAGTATATTTGCTCTAAATAAGGTTTATATATTTATAAAAATATTCTAAATAAGAAGGTATTAACTAATACTATCTATATTAATATTAAATTAGAATAGTTATAAAATATCTTAAACTTAGTTCTAAAAAGTATTTATAGAATTAGTATAAAGAAAAATAAAACTTTTATAAGCTCTTTCTTTCTAATTATATAAAGCTAATTACTAATCTGAGATTAGATTAAGTAAAATCTCTTATATTACTATTTTCCTAAACTTAAGTTATATTAAAATAATATAAATACTTTTAATCTAATATATATAAAATACTTTAATTTCCTTATCTAATATATTAAGGCAACTTATATAAGTATTAGAACTCGTTTATTACTGCTTTTTAAGAGTAATAAGATCTTATATAACTTGCTTTAGACTCTTTTTAAGTCAAGTATATTTACTTATATTATATATTCTAAAATAAAAAACCAAAAATATATTAAATATAACTATAATAAAAAGAGAACTATATCTAATAAAATAGTATACTTCTATATTAAGGGCCGCTATATTAACTTTAATAGGAAAATATTTAGTAAGATTTCTATTAATATAAGTATTTTGAAATTTTATAAATTAAAGCCTATTAATTCTCTCGATATTTTCCTCTTATAATACTATAATAATATAGACTAAATTAAAATAAAGCTAGTTAAATATAGCCAGAAATTCGGTTTTTTAAAAAATATTAGGTATTTCTAATATAATAATATAGTATTTCAGGTAATACAAAAAGAACTAATTATAATATTTATCTTAAATAGAATTATAATTAATATAGCCTAGTTCCAAAAGATTAATTCTAACTATATAAGGCCAAGTCTAATTAAAATAGCTAATAGCTAGTAGTATAATTCTAATACTATTAATCTTAACTAGTTTAATAATGAACTGCCTCTATTACTAGAGACTAATTAAGCTAAGATTAATAATATAAATATTAATATATATAATAAAAATAACTTAATTATTTATAATCTAAATAATAAATTATAATATAAGAATTTTATCTAATAACGAAAGGTCTATAAAGCTAATTAAATTATATATAATAAAGCTTATAATTAATAATATTACTAAGATTAGCTAGAATAACTTATTTTAGAATTATCTTATAATAAAGCCTAAATAAAAGAATCTTATACTAGCTCTTATAATATCTTATTTATAATAAATACCCAATTATTTATTTAATAATATTATTATAAAAAAGAATTATAATCTAATTATATTCTTTTTATATAGGATTCAGGTTTAATTATATTTCTTAAGTTTACTAATATATATATTAGTAAATCGCCTAAAGTTAGTAAGATACTAATTACTAAAGTATTATTAGAGTATTTATAGAAACTGCTCTATACTATAGATATTTCTCTTAGAAATATTACTCTTTATATTAATATTTTATAAATATTTGCTAGAGATCTAAATAATAATATAATAAAGCTCGAGAAATAGCTTTTACTTTACTTTAAGCTTATAAATTACTAGAATACTTTATTTTTTCTTAATAAAGCTAATATATTTTTATATAAATATAATATAAATTATACCCATAACTTATTTATCTTAATATTCCTATATAAGTTAAAATATTATTAAGAAATTATACTTCTTATTACTAATTAAATTAGGGATTTTAATAATATAATTCAGAGCAGAATTTATCTTATACTTTAGTATAGCCCTTTAGGTATTAATATAAAAAAGAGAATCTAAAATATCTTTCTTTAAAATACAAGTATAGCTAAAGAAAAAGCAGACTATAATAATAAAAACCTTAATAACCTTATAAAGTATAATATTAATAGCTATTAGATAAGTACTTGTTTTATTAAAGTTATAAGTTTATATACTAATAGATTTCTCTTTTAAATTAGAAATATTATCCGGGTAATATATACCTTAGTATTTCAGGAAAGGGCTATAATATCCTATTCTTATTTAGAAATTATTATTAACTCGAGTAAAGAATTTGAAACTAATACTAGTAGAGGCTCTTCTAAATATATATAATCTTATTTATAATTATCTAGTATTTGGGCTATATATTTATACTTGTTATTACCTTTACTCTCGTTCTTAATATATTAGTAAAAGTATAATAGTTTATAAATATAGGTTATTTTTTGTTTTACTAGATTTCGATTATTTCTGAGAAATAGAAATTACTTAAGTATTATATAACTCAAAAACCTTACCTAATAATAATATACGTTAATATTGATTTAGTTCTCCCAGCCGAGATAGTAGCTTTACGCTAGGTCGCTCACCTAGTACTTCTTAGTCCATGCTATTTATAGAGGACGCCATTTCTGGATGGAGTTGAAATGCCGATTATGGAGGTTAGATCTTCGTAGAGAAGTTGAACATTGTCCGAATTTTGAAAAGGGCCGTATGACGAGGTAGGAGTTAGGACCACGGTCGGAATTGGAGCCAGCGCCTAAATTAAATGACTCAAATGGCTCAAAGCCCACGGAATGAGCCAATATCTTATTAGATGAGGAAGCCAAAATTGAATGCAGAGGTGAAGGCAGGATGGGAGGTCAGAATTAGACGTAAAGCCAGACTCAGTTGTAAAGGCCGGAATTGACGCATTCTGATTATTTGAAGAGTTTTTGGCCAAAAATGAAGGTCGTGATATTGGGGGTTTGAAACTGTGCAAGAGGCAGGTACTCGATCATGGATACCTTCCGTGCGATATCCAGGCTAACCCGAACGTACATTGGCCGGATGAACCCAGATCATACAGTCGATCCGATCCAAAAGCGACAAAAAAAAAAAGTCTACCAAAATACTAATTGATATAAATCATATTAATCGGAACTATCGTATATCTTATAGTAATTATTTCCTTGGTCTCCGATTTTTAATACCTTTAATATTACAGAAGTTACAGAGCACGTGACTATTTTTATACGAGCTCGCATAGAAATTTTGGCGTTTTGTAAGAGTAAAAAAAATCATATCTCGTATAGTATATGAGGCTATACGTAATTAAAATCATAAATTTTTTATACTTTATATTCTCTTTAATAGTAACTCTTAAAATTTAAGCTCTTACAAGATATACTAAGCTTATATAAGCTTAAGGAGCCTTATAAGACCTTATAAGTCTAAGTTTAATTTATTATTTACTTAGGTACACGTGACTTTTGTGAAATATTTTGGCGTTTTATATAGTCAGAAATCAAAAAGTAAGAAACGTCCGTGCACTTCAAAACTCGATTACTAATTAACCACAAATCGCATTAAAAATCTGATTAATAGGTTTTATTCGCTTGCTTCTTTTCTATAATTGCATTACTTAGTATTAATTACTCAGGGTTGTGATTAAAAAGTTATTATGGATATAAAAGGGTGACCGTTTTGTCGCTTTTAGATCGGACCGACTATATGTTTAGCGATATATGCACCACAAAAGCGTCTACTCCTTGGCTCCAGAATTCGATGAAATGCAAGACCTCCTATTAAGAGAGTTCAAGGATACCACGCTCCCAGAATTCTTCGCGATATTTTCGAAACGAACAAGTCTTAATGCAAGCATGTTGAAGAGCCTCACCTTCGTTGTCGTCTTTATACAAGATCTTTTCCTCGAGGTGAACCGAAGCGATAATGAGAAAAAGTGGTTGAATTTGAAGAGAAGGATTAGTTATTTATTTAAAGAGACCATGGCAGAGAGGCTGCAGGAGACAGAATTTGAGGTATGGGTTATAGAGGAGAATGATTTGGCAGGCTTGTAACCGCTTTGCTAACGGGGATACCAGGGTTTCGTTAATCCTTGGCAGTATTAGGAAAGCTTACTCTTGGCAGATAAGTTAGCCGTCTAATAGAAGAGGTGGATTATTCAAAGATGGAGTTATTAGCCTGTAATTTCCTATCTTACTTGGATATAAATTACTTAAACATATTACTTGCAAATATATGTAATACTAACTAATTATTAAAAGTTAATATAAAGTAAATAATAAAGTCGGATCTAAAAATGCATTACCTTATATAAGAGTAGTTAGTTTATTGCAGGTAACCCTTTAAATTAATTAGTTATATTATTATCTAGTTATAACTCTATTTCTGTATTTAAATAAACTTGAGATAATTAGGAAGTCCTTGTTTTATACCGCTTGGATCTGCTCGGTTCCTCGGGCTTCTGTAATACTACTTCTCTTAGTTAAGGGTCGTCTTAATCTTTATCTATATAATGTGTTTTAATATGTCTATAACTATATTATTAGTAAAAGGGCCGTTATAATAAATATAGCTTCTATAATATATATATTATAATAAAGGTATGAATTAATTAAGTTAGTAGACTATATCTCTAAAGGTTATCCGGCCATAGGTATTCTTTACTAAGATAAAAGGGATAGATATAACCTGGCGAATTATAAATTAGACCATACCGAATTATCTTATTCTTTTTCTTGAAACCTTTCCTACCTTTACTCCGGAGGCATTCTTTAATACTATAGTAGTGAGGTCGGTTTAATAAGTAAACATTAGTATAAGAATTCAAGAGATACTAGATCCGTATTAACCTTTATATAAAGAAGTAAAGAAAGCTATAAAGAATTCCGAGCTAACCTGGGATAGCTAAAAGTCGTAGAGGTAGTCTTCTTATTAGAGATTATAAAAAGGTTGAGACGCCAGCTATAGTAGCTTTAGTAAGACGGTTAAGATCCCTAAGTTAGTCCGAGATTAATGGGAAAGTGACTAGACTAGCTCTAGTACTATTAGACAGGCCCGATTTTGGAGAATATTAATAAATAGGTGGTAGTTTATTAGCAGGAGAAGCTATCGTAGTCAGCTTTATATCCTCCCTATCTGCAGGATACGTATCCAAGTCTGGAGTACTACTTTTGATTATAGATGTATCCTGGGCCGATTATAAAGTACCTTAAGCGGCCATAACTTTATACGCCTTTAATGCTTTAGTTACGAGTATTATAAGATCGATGGCTTTCTCAGTATGGGCTCCGATAAGCTTAATAAGCGATGATTAGATAATCGCACTAATTTTTTAATAATTAATAATCGACTATCGATTACGATAATTATCGAACTAAGGCCTTGGCAATACTACAGGGCCACTACAGGGCCACTACAGGGCCAATGCGCTATATTTATAGGCCTCATACTACCTTTTCTTTACTATAGCAGAATTCCGATTTAGTAAAGGCGGTATAAGGCCTATAAATATAGCGCATTGGCCCTGTAGTAGCCCTATAGTACTACCAGGGCCCTGGACCCACTATTATTAATAGATTTAGTACTATAAAGGCGGTCTAAGGCCTATAAATATAGCATATTGGCCCTGTAGTAGCCCTGTAGTGGCCCTGTAGTATTACCAAGGCCCTGGGACCCACTATTATTAATGGAATTATTAATGGGCTCGCTTAATGGCTAGCTAGGCCCACTTTTATTAATGGAATTATTAATAAAAGCGGGCCCAGCCATTAAGCGAGCCCTATTACATTAATAGTATTAGTAATAATTATATTATCTATATTATATAATAGACTATTAAATAGAAACATAATAGTATAGTAATAATAGTCTACTTTTATACTAATCTTAATACTAATTGGTTTATAATTAAACTAGAAAGCGAGATGTTTATGTAATAGGGCTCGCTTAATAGCTGGGGCCCACTTTTATTAATAATAATTATTAATATCGATTATTTATTAATTAATTAGCCAATAATAATTACTAATCAATAATCACGATCAATAATTTATCAGAGCCCACACTGGGCTTTCTTCTCTACCATAACCTTAGTTCCCTTTATAGACTCCGCCGCCCCTTTATTAATTGAGGCCAAAAGCTCATTCCCGGCCTAGTATATAATATCGGGATGTTTTCTACTATCCATAAAGGAGACTAGTACTGTGTTACCTTGGCTCTGGCCGGAGTTGGGGCCGCCTTGAGATAGAGGAACTATTAGCGGCGGACTCGGCAAAGGCTAAAGAGTAGGTCTTATCGGTTTTAATAGCGGACTATTACGAAGGCCAATATTATCCGGATCATATATGTTATCGAGAGCGGTAGAAGCTGGAGCTGGGGGGTTCTCGGCGGCAGCCATAATTATAAAGGCGCTAATAAAAGCGGTAAATTGCTATTGGGTATATAGGAAGGGCAGTACTACCAGTGTGGTAATGTGTGGTTCGTATAGAGGAGGTGGTCGTCGTGGAGGAGGTGGTTATTGCGGAGAAGGTAGTCGTTACGGAGGAGGTAATTAGTAAATAGTGCGTATGGGATGGCGACTTGGGAAGACCTAAAAGGCAGAGAGTCCAGGAGGGCACAAATAAAGATTATATACATGGAGGCTGGCTTACTACTATAAGAAGCAATAAAGTGAATAATAGCAAGGGAATAATTAGGAAGGGGAGAATAGTACTCACGAATAATAGCGCCATAATATTTAAGATATAAAAATAAGTAATAATAAACCGAGATCTATATAATACGTACGGTGAATTAATACAGGGTATATAGCAATTATTCGGTATCTAAAGATACCTCTGAATCCAGGCTATCTAATAATAATATTAGGATCCAATTTGCTAATGGTTTTGCTATATAATTTAAAGCATTTTTTCTCGCGGAGTAGATATTAGAAAGTAATTGATTTATTAATGGAAAATCGATATATTGGAGTTTGATAATCTATAAAATGACTAGATACAGGAGAGTAAAGAGTAAAAAAAAAAAGGAGAGGAGGGAATCTAAAGTATAGTTCTTATATATTCACTAGTAGGTGGCGATTTCCTCCAGTATATTATAAATCAGATAACTCATATATATTAGTAAGCATTCCCTGAGCTTCCATAGTGAGCTATTCCATAGGCTTCCATAGTAAACCATTATAAATGAGAGTGGCGAAGCTAATATTAGTAGTTGAACCTGGTACTAGAAGGATTAGTAAGCTAGTACCAATTCAATAGTAGAGTTGGAGTTATGAAGTTGGATGTGGTTTGCGGTCCCACTCCCACAGCCACATTTGTCCGCTCAGTGCTGGAGCCGGGGCCAGGGTATAGTGGCACACCTTTGCACCTTTGCGTAAGCTGCTATTTTCGCTATAAACCCACTTTCAATAGACAGCCAGTTTTGCTGCCACACTTTTAGAAACGCCTAAACAAGAAGCCATTTCGGCCATTACACTTTTTTATCCCTTGAACAGGCAGCTATTTTTGATATTATACCGCTTCTAAAGAGAGCGAGTTTTGCAGTTACTCTTTTATATCCTTCGAACAAGTAGCTATTTTTGCTACCATACCTCTTCTAATAAGGGAGCAAGTTTTGTAGTCAAACTTATATATTTATTCAATAAGCGGCCAGGGGATAGATGCAGACGAATACCAAGTCATAGGCACGCCCAGTAGGGGCTGGCAATATCTGGTGTGCGGCTTGGCCCGTAAGGCGCTGAATTGCAAAACGGTTAGAGTCTCTAATACGAGGAAATCCGATAAGCGGCTTAGTATGGAACAGGGCAGTGGAAGTGATGCGTCTCCACATTATTAAAGGCTAGAGAAATATATCTTATTACCTAAAGTCAAGTTAGCGATCGAAACTAGTTATACTACTACTCGCCGTTAGAATAGACGAAGAGAGCATCCTGGCTCTCGAACTCGTTATACTATTTCCCGCAAGGCTAATACCCTTGACGACTATAACAAAGGCTGCCTAGACTCTCGCGACGCTAATCCCCTCCCACCTTTTTCCAAGGCTAATCCTCGTCCTCTATTACGTTAAGACTTCGATTAATATTAGTAGTACTAGAAATTATAATAGGTAGAGAAGGAGGTATAAGCAGAGATAGATAGGTTATTACTAGAGCAGGAATAGTAAAGATTATTTGGCAGAGATAGCGGTAATAACGGGAGTCTTTATTTTATAATACTAGATATAGTAATATAACTCTTTAGTAATATTAACTATATGGATCCTTGAATATATATGCTTAATCAGATATATTAAATAAATTAGGGGAGAATAGCAAGGTCTATAAAGCTATAAGGATTCAAGAAGAGGAGATTAAGGAAGTTAAATAAAGAGTTTGCTATTAGGGTACTAGAGCTGAAATTTAACCCTACCGAAAATTTATTATTTCTTTTGGAATATAGGCTATTACCCGGGAAAGCTATTAATAATAATAAAGATATAAATAAGGGGAATTAGGAATAAGGAAAGGAGGTAAGTAATAAGGTCTAAGGACTAAGATACTACTAATAAGCCATATATATAAAGAAGACATAAAGTACTTGGAACGGATATATATATAAAAATAAATAGGAACTAGTTTACTTACTAAAGAAAGTTACTAGTTACTTTCGAGTAATAAAATAAGGTGCATTTATAATTATAGATATAGTTCGGTAACTAGTACTAAAGCTAGGCTATTCCGGTATAGTATTAAAGGTTATTTCCTCTTTTCTCTAAAGCTTTTAGTTATATAATATATGTCTCTAAATATAAAAAAAAACTTCCCTTAATAGCTTTGAGAATATTGCTTTTGAGGTTATATATCTGGTTAATTTAGCGACTAGCCTTTAAGAGCAGTAATAAATAGCTCTTTTAACTATAAACGAACCCTTAATTCTTTAACTGCCATAATATTAACTCCGAAATTCGAATTAATATAATAAAGATACCGGAACTATTAGTTAGTATACTAATATATTACTTATCTCAGTCTTACGGATTAGGCTTAATAATAGGGCTGTCCCGCTTCAGTTACTAAAAGAACCCGAACTCGGGCTCATATAACGAATCTTATATAATACTAATTTAATCCTTAGTAATTATTTATCTTTAGGCTAACTACTTCAAGAATTTGTAGTATTCTCTTTTTAACTTACTTCTAGTTATAATTATAAATATAATATCGGGATTTTTACTCGCATATTACTTAATATCTTTTAATATTTAACTAAGTTAAATATTTAATATAGCTTATTAAGAGTTTTTTTAATTATTAGGCAGGATAAGCAAAAGGCAGATCGCAAATCGCTAAAGTATATTCTTTCTTTACTATAATTACAGAAACCTGCTTTAATTTTTAATTTAGATATTAATATAGTATTATAGCTAAAGATATTATTAAATAGGCTAAGCTATATATTTATAAGATAGTATATATTTATTATATACTTAAAGCTAAAGGCAGGAAGTTAGATAAGTTAAATAATCTTATAGAATAAATAAGTAAGTTAGAAACTATAGTCAAGCCTCTATAAAAGAAATATACTAAGATTATATTAGTTCGAAATTCTCTTATTAAATTAAATAGAGAAATATATAATTCTTGTCTAATTAATATTAAATTTAAACTTCTCTATAGATCTGGTTAATAGATATCTTAAATAAAAGGATCTTATAATAATATATAGAATATAAATAAGGCTAAGAAGCAGAAGCTTGCCGCTAATAAACCTGCCACTAATGGACTAGCTACTAACGAGCCTGCTACTAACGAACCTGCCACTAATGAACCTGCTACCGACAAACCTGCTACTAATG